AGCACCTTGTGTCGCCAGGTATACGCCCTGAGGTGGTAATGAATACCCTGATGTTTCGCCAGGTATACGCCCTGAGGCGGTAATGAATACCCTGATGTTTCGCCAGGTATACGCCCTGAGGCGGTAGTGAGTACCCCGATGTGTGGCCAGGTATACACCCTGAGGTGGTAGTGAGTACCCTGATGTGTGGCCAGGTATACGCCCTGAGGTGGTAGTGAATACCCTGGTGTGTCGCCAGGTATACGCCCTGAGGTGGTAGTGAATACCCTGGTGTGTCGCCAGGTATACGCCCTGAGGTGGTAGTGAATACCCTGGTGTGTCGCCAGGTATACGCCCTGAGGGGGTAGTGAGTATTGATGTGTCGCCAGGTATACGCCCTGGGGTGGTAGTGAATACCCTGATGTGTCGCCAGGTATACGCCCTGAGGTGGTAGTGAATACCCTGGTGTGTCGCCAGGTATACGCCCTGAGAGGGTAGTGAGTACTGGTGTGTCGCCAGGTATACGCCCTGAGAGGGTAGTGAGTACTGGTGTGTCGCCAGGTATACGCCCTGAGAGGGTAGTGAGTACTGGTGTGTCGCCAGGTATACGCCCTGAGGGGGTAGTGAGTATTGATGTGTCGCCAGGTATACGCCCTGAGAGGGTAGTGAGTACTGGTGTGTCGCCAGGTATACGCCCTGAGGGGGTAGTGAGTATTGATGTGTCGCCAGGTATACGCCCTGAGAGGGTAGTGAGTACTGGTGTGTCGCCAGGTATACGCCCTGAGGGGGTAGTGAGTATTGATGTGTCGCCAGATATACGCCCTGAGAGGGTAGTGAGTACTGGTGTGTCGCCAGGTATACGCCCTGAGGGGGTAGTGAGTATTGATGTGTCGCCAGGTATACGCCCTGAGAGGGTAGTGAGTACTGGTGTGTCGCCAGGTATACGCCCTGAGGGGGTAGTGAGTATTGATGTGTCGCCAGATATACGCCCTGAGGGGGTAGTGAGTACCTGATATGTTGCCAGGTATACGCCCTGAGGTGAAATTGAGTACCTGATGTGTCGCCAGGTATACGCTCTGGGGTAGTAGTGAGTATACCTGATGTGTCAACATGTCTAATCAATGTTGAAGCAAGGCCCTTCACCATAGCACACCAAAGGGCGATATCCTCTCCTCGTAATTTATGCGATCGCTCGTCACACCGAAGAACCATATTATGAACGTTTCTGGAATATCACTAGGACATTGCTGGGACATCTAAGGATCATTGCTGGGAAATTTCAGGAAACATTTCAGGAACATTGCTGGAACACTGCTAAGACATTGCTGGAACACTGCTGGGACATTGCCAAAAGTTGTGTTGGACCATAAACTCATAACTCGTTGACAAAAGAGCGTCACACTTCCAGAAAACAAAAGTGTTCAGAATGTGCACTGTCGTACCTGTTCACGATATGAAACACAGGTTTGGAAGTAGATATAGTCAGTTCTGGCATAAATCATGCTCGGCAAAAACAACATTGCAGTCATTAGCCGAACACCGACAGGAGTAAATGCGTGAGGATTTAAGAGACGTTTATCGGTAGTGCGGCAACATCACGGCAGGGGGCGTCAAAACTGGACTATAAATATATATACGTATGTTAGTCAACCAGCAACTCGACTGAAAAAGTAGATAATGTAATCATACATTCACTACAATACAGCTAACTACGGTTATAACAAACTCAAAGGGATCACTAATTTTAGTTCGTAATAACCGTAGTTCGTTATAAGCATATATACAGTAAACTATGGTTATAACGAACTCAAGGGGACCACTAATTTTAATTCGTAATAACCGTAGTTCGTTATACGCATATATACAGTAAACTATGGCTATAACGAACTCAAAGGGACCACTAATTTTAGTTCGTAATAACCGTAGTTCATTATAAGCATATATACAGTAAACTATGGTTATAACGAACTCAAAGGGACCACTAATTTTAGTTCGTAATAACCGTAGTTCATTATAAGCATATATACAGCATATATGCAACAAATGACCGGGACTAAAAAATAAGTGCGTTATATCGGTCTGGTCGTCATAAGCGTGGTCGTTATAAACGTAGTTCACTGTATATGCAACAAATGACCGGGACTAAAAAATAAGTGCGTTATATCGGTCTGGTCGTCATAAGCGTGGTCGTTATAAACGTAGTTTACTGTATATGCAACAAATGACCGGGACTAAAAAATAAGTGCGTTATATCGGTCTGGTCGTCATAAGCGTGGTCGTTATAAACGTAGTTTACTGTATATGCAACAAATGACCGGGACTAAAAAATAAGTGCGTTGTATCGGTCAGTACGTTATAAGCGTGTTCTTTATAAACGTAGTTTATTGTATGTCTGTGTGTATGTCTGTGTGTCGGCGCATATGATTTCGTGACTTCCCGAGAGCGGCCCATGAAGATCCGGGGTAGAATATGTCTTCAGCAACCCATGCTTGTCGTAAAAGGCGACTAACAGGATCGGCTGGTCAGGCTCACTGACTTGGTTGATACATGTCATCGTATCCCAGTTGCGTGGATCGATGCTCATGATGTCAATCACTGGATTGTCTGGCCCAGACTTTATTATTTATACACCTCCGTCATGTAGCTGGCACATTGCTGAGTGCGGCGTTGAACAACAAGACAAATAAACAAAACTTGCCGAGAGCGCAGTTAAAAAGTCAGGTGTCTGAAAAAAGGGGGTACGCACCCCTGCACCGCTCTCTGGATCGGGGACAATGAGGGGCGGTCGGGTAGCCTAGTGGTTAAAGCGTTCGCTCGTCACGCAGAAGACCCGGGTTCGATTCCCGACATGGGTACAATGTGTGAAGCCCATTTCTGGTGTCCTCCGCCGTGATATTGCTGGAATATTGCTAAAAGCGGCGTAAAACCATACTCACTCACTCACTCTGGATCGACCTGTGCATCGTGTGTAGCCCCGATCTTCACTGGTCGCGAGGTACTTAAGTTACAGGTATGTGTGCCACAGCGACAGTCTCTCACTTGCTTGAGTTAATCATTAACTGCATGTTGGACCGATAATTGTCATAAAATATATACGCAGAATTTGGGGACTTAATAACTACACATCTAGACCCCGCTTCCCAAAGCGACATCATCGCTGCGACTGTCGTTGGCCTACGTTAAGTATGGGAGTTACGAAATTTTTTGCCTTAAGATCGCTTTGTGAAATGGTAAACTGGAAAATAAAAAAAAATCCCCCTTTCTTTTATTTAAATACACTCCGATACCTCATGTATAAATCAGAAATATAACGTATGAAACTGATTTATTTTTTTTGTAATGTCCAAGATACTACAGATATTGTCTGACTGGTTGGTAAAAGAAAACTATCTTTCTCCATGGTTGCATCTGCAGGGTTAGAATGTATAAATAGTGCTTCACAGTTTGACCAGGTGTTTAGAATCAATCTTGCCACGACTACATGAAGGAGTGAGCCCTAAAAGCGATGTTTGTTCGACAAGAGAAAACTACAGCAACATCGATGAGGACGCCACAGTGTTATTAGAGTGCCTCGTTGTCTCCCTTTGCCGTGCCAGGATCCTCTAATCCGCTCAGAGTGTCCTTTGGTCTGTCCACACAATACCGTGCTCGTGAGATTCACCAGTTTGTAAACGGACGACATACATCCCTTACTACATCGTCTCAGGTGATGTGAAATGTTGTCGATAACCCACTTTGTAATAACATATTTATCTAGCATGAGTGAGTGAGTGAGTTTTACGCCGCTTCACGTGGGGGACACCAGAAATGGGCTTCACTCATGGGGGAAATAGAACCCGTGTCCACTATACGCTCCCCCTACCCTTATCTAGGACGTGGTTGTTTCCTATAGTGGATACGACAGCTTGCATACCCGGCGCGTTTAGAAATTCATTACCACCATTTACTTGTGGATCTCAAATACCGATTCTACCTTAGGTGCATAATGTAAGTGTAGCAATAGGCTTGCCTTGACTTGCTTAAAACTAACTTAAACAATTGTCTTCTCGTAAATACTTACTCTTAAATCCCGTCAGAGTGACGTTGTCGTGACAACCATAAAGACGATTTCCTGGAAAATGACGCTTTTATTGATTGATATGCAAAAGCGGTTTATTGTACATGCACTTAATGGTTATAGTGTACTCTTACAGAGACGCGATGAATCAATCTTTGGCATATAGTTCTTTCTCGGAATATTAGAAAAGGCCAAGGGAATACCAAGTATATGTACTCTGATCTTTTACCTTTTCACCAAATCGAATTTTTTTCATTAACCATGTCGACCAAGAATTACAATCGGGAAGGAAATATTAGAAATGCCCACGCAATGGAAATGACACCTACATTCATAAAACAAAACTGTTATCAAACATTGAAACTGTTGAGCTTTGCAAGAGGTAAAGTATATAATTTCTTACGGTATTCATTTTAATTGAAAACTATTTTGCGAAAATAAAAACATATAGCCTTGAAAGAGTAGCAAAGCCGAAAATATTTCAGTGAGAACCACAGACATTTCCTATGCAGTGACGTCAGGCGTGGGAAACCGGAAATAAAGACAAATACTATTAGTCCTACAGCGAATTATGTATAAAGGAGAAATTGATGATTTGCTTCAAATAAAACCAAATCATATCTTACACAATAAAAGGATATTCTTTCATCTTTTAAATGTTTCAGTATTTATTGTTTTACTGTTTGTTTGTGAGATTAATGCTTATGTATATCGATCCAATATTATTCATAGAAAACTAGTTGTACCACCAATATTATATTCTAATGACGTTGAAGCAGATGACAGGTTGAAGAAGCGATAATGTTGTGATGTTTTTATCTTGCACACGTTTGTGTAGTAAACCGATCGACTAATCAGATCTTGGTGACGGCTTGTCCATGCACAGGACTCCCTGTTGACAAAACAACTAAAGGTAGGCAATGCGTCATTGGATAGCGTTATGTGCGATGCTACGGGAGTGCCAGGAGATTGTTTTGATTTTCAGCCTGTGCTAGCCTCCTGCAAAGTCCAACAAGCTATTTTATCTATATTCTTTGCAGATTACAGCTTATCAAGATGACCTTGTGTTTGCATTTGTTCGAATCACTAAGTAAACGTCTGAGATATACACTCGTTGACTGTAGACTCTCGTGTATTACCGACACGGAGTCTTCTATGAGATCGAAATCTTGACGTATCCTCAGTGGTCGTCTGCATTCGTGAATCAGTGTGGGTATTACACGCACAAATACAGACGCACACATACCCCAGGGTCACACGAGGCACTGTATTACTTTTATAGCCAACTGTGGGAAGGGTGACCATAGTAAAATAATTTTTGACGCTGAACCCAACTTGCCAAATGTGAACTGTGAACAGTTTCGCTCACATTAAAACACTCCCGAACAAAGTGCAGAGCAGATGGCAAGCCGTACGTGTCCGAAAAATTCACCGGACTAGATACTAAATTTTGATGATTTTTCAGATACATTGTGTCCATAAGTGTCACATTATTGTTTTTTTAATTGATATTATATTTCTGAATGCCAGAATGTGCACTTTTATATAAACAGTAAGACTGATGCTTGAGGTATGGATATTAAGGACTCAGATTTTTTACATAGACGCTCATCCACTTACCTTCTGTACAAGACCATTGTGCCACATGCAACAATATTCCAACTATATGACGGCGGTCTGTAAATAATCAAGTCTGGACCAGACAATCCAGTGATTGACATCATTTGGGATCGATGAACTGAGGTTTCCATTTGTATCAAAGCAGGATTCTGTCCTCATAGTATCTTAGATTTGTGTTGTATATTCATTGGAGCTGAACAATCTCGGAACAATATCAAAACAGTTCACATCTTTGCAGAGGGTCACACCTTGAAGGGATCGGAAAATATGTCATTGACTGGCTGTCTTTGTGTAGCATCACACCCAACACATCCAGAAGGTAGCAGGACTTGCTGTCACTGACTGGCTGTCATAGCTTAATATCATATCCTGAAGGTAGAGGGATGTGTCCGTCATTGACTGGCTGTCTTTGCTGAGCGTCGTGCCTTGAGAATTGTGGGCACTGTCTGACACTGGCTGTCTTAGTGTAACATCATACCCTTACAACAGTTGGGAATGTGTATCATTGACTCTCTTAGCATGACATCATGTCTTGAATGTAGTGGGATGAGCTGTCATTGATTGACACCAGGGATAGACACAACCACTAGTTGTTAGTCTGAGAACAGTGAAACTAGAGCATGAAGAGGGATGTAATGGTCATACACTTAAAGATGTCTTCATTTTATGATGCTTCAGTTGGGTATCAAGGTAGACTATTTTCATTTTCTTAAGCCCAATAGGGTGCGCTTTGCACTAGTTTATTTATAGATGCATGTCATCAAGGCAGGTAAGGCATGCACAGAGCCTCATGGCAGCTGGCTAGGTAGCCACATGAGTTGATAAAAGTGGTCAACAACTAGGTAAATACAACAGCATTTTAACTAATATCTTTAGTTTTTGATGTATAATTGTGATATTATGTATTTGAATTAATTACGTTGCTTCTGGTAAATAACATTTTTGTAATTACCATAAATTTCCTGATGTGTCCTAAAATACAATGTTCTTTTGCAAAGAAATGTTTTTGAGTATAGTTTATTTGTATTTACAATCTAGAGTAATGGTATTTTTGTTTTATTTGTAGTCAATCCTGAAATGAAGTGACATGAAATGACATGACATGGATTGACATGAAATACTCATGAAACAGAATAAAAAAGACAGAAATCCAAAGATGGAATTGTTTTCATTTGAAAAGTATCAGTGTGAGTTTTGAAGGCAACAAGGAACAAGTTCTTTTCACCCTAAATCTAGTTACTTTACATAAACCACTACTCCGAAATGAGCTTCAGACTTGTTGGATGGGACCAATGATGTGTGTCATTGCCTGGCTGTCTTTGTGTAACATCATACCCAGCACATAGATAAGGTAGCAGGGCATGTGTGTCATTGTGTGGCGTTCTCAGTGTAGCGTCGGCTGGCTGTTTCAATAACATCTTTAGTTTTTACTAGATTGAGTGTTGATACATCATACACCATTACTACTTATGGTTTCAAGCCCCAAGGCTTTTATATTGACTCCGGGCCCCTATTGTGTGTTTTGTATGACTTGTGGCTGCCGTGATATAACTGTAACAGTGTTATTTTGAATCTATCTTTATGTTAACTCAGGAGATTGATGAACAAGTCTATATTTCAGTCTGTTTTTCCAAAACTAGTAAAATTCAGGATTCAGAAAGGATGAGTGAGAGAGTTGGATTTAACGCCGCTTTTAACAGTATTCCAGTTACATCAAGGCGTGTCAGCTTAATGTGGGAGGAAAGCCCGAGGTGATGCAGGTCTCAGATGTTTACCACTTCGGTGAAACCCACAAGCACGGGTATGGTGCAGACAAACCTAGAAACATAATCGGGGCGAACTGAGATTCGAAGCCACAATCATAGGTTTCTGACGTGCCCAAGGGACGCAACTCTGCACAGCAAATCCCGGCGCCTTAGACGACTGGGCCACCAATGCCCCCAAAGGATGAGTGACATTTCTGTGTTGACTACCACTTTTTCCGTTAATAGATGACAGCTTATTTTAGTAGCAGATAATTCTTGCCGACTAGTGAAAATAGAAATTCATTTGAAACCCTGATTAATAGCTTTTGTAAATTCTGCAGCATTGGTTATAAATTGGATCAGATTTGTTTCATATGTTACATTGAGTTTCTACTGACATTTGTAAACATTTCATCAAATCCAGGATAGGAGTTTTGGATTATGCATGTCAGTGATCTGTTGACAAGGGATAGACCTGGCCACATGTCTGTTAGTCCCAGTGTCCAAACTAGTGCAACTCTAGAGGGATACATGGGATAGACCTGGCCACATGTCTGTTAGTCCCAGTGTCCGAAACTAGTGCAACTCTAGAGGGATACAAGGGATAGACCTGGCCACATGTCTGTTAGTCCCAGTGTCCGAAACTAGTGTAACTCTAGAGTGATACAAGGGATAGACCTGGCCACATGTCTGTTAGTCCCAGTGTCTGAAACTAGTGTAACTCTAGAGTGATACAAGGGATAGACCTGGCCACATGTCTGTTAGTCCCAGTGTCTGAAACTAGTGTAACTCTAGAGTGATACAAGGGATAGACCTGGCCACATGTCTGTTAGTCCCAGTGTCTGAAACTAGTGCAACTCTAGAGGGATACACGGGATAGACCTGGCCACATGTCTGTTAGTCCCAGTGTCTGAAACTAGTGAAACTCTAGAGGGATACAAGGGATAGACCTGGCCACATGTCTGTTAGTCCCAGTGTCTGAAACTAGTGTAACTCTAGAGTGATACAAGGGATAGACCTGGCCACATGTCTGTTAGTCCCAGTGTCTGAAACTAGTGTAACTCTAGAGTGATACAAGGGATAGACCTGGCCACATGTCTGTTAGTCCCAGTGTCCAAACTAGTGCAACTCTAGAGGGATACACAGGATAGACCTGGCCACATGTCTGTTAGTCCCAGTGTCTGAAACTAGTGCAACTATAGAGGGATACGGGGGTTAGACCTGGCCACATGTCTGTTAGTCCCAGTGTCCGAAACTAGTGCAACTCTAGAGGGATAAGGTCTTTTCTCTCCAAATCTATTTACCTAAACCACTTGTCCAAACTGAGGACAAGTGGATTTGACCATTTGGGCCTACCCCTGGAATTTTGCTGTGTGAAATAACTGCAGATATTGGTCTTTCTATGTTGTTTGAACAGGTGCATTGTGTAACTCATGGAATAACATCAGAGTTTGATCAAAGTGAAGACGTGACTATGAATAGCTGAGTGTCTAGCATGATGTACACGTTGGAACTTGCTACAGTCCCAAAAGATAAAATGTGATCTTTGACCATATGTTCTCCATATACATGATACATATTTGCCAGACTTATAAACCCTATAGGGAAAACAAGTAATCATTCTCTGCAAGTGCTGATAACAATAACATATTGTCAATGTATTATTAATCAGAACTTTCTACAGGTCTGAAGGATACTTTTACACTTGGCATATCGTGAATACCTCATATTTTCCCACCCTGTCTCTTTCTATGTCTTGACAAATCAATACCAGATACCATTGAATCAGTGTTGATACCATAACTGTGTAAGCTTTGTTTGTATGTTTGTTGCTTAATACAGACTACAGTTTTCAATTAGACAGTCGGACCAGCTTTATGGAAATGTTACTTGCCCAATTTAAACGTCACTGGCATTTGGCTAGCGGGCAGGCAGCTATTTCGAACACTGGTACCAAAGTAGATATTCCTTGAGTTTTTGTAACAGTAATTCTAATCAGAGTTGATCTTCTCCACCTCAAAGTTGTCATTAGATATTTCTAGTTTTTTTCTGACAAATGTATGGTAATTTCATTCCCAAGACCTCCAATTCCTCTGAAAGCCAGTCACAGTAGAAGTCCTAACAGAACTTAATATTATTTCCGGACTTTGAATTGGTCTAAAGGGCCTTAGTTTTGTCAACTTTCTGATACTTTATAGTAGTTCTTATCAAGTTTTACCAGCAATAGTAGTGCAATTTGTTGCAACATTAAGTAGATGTGTGATTGGAGGAGTAACCATCCAAAAGTGAACACAGACAACTATATTAAAATGCAATGCATAAAATGATATAAATTTTTGCTTATCAGTAAGACAATTATTGTTATGATAATGACAGTCAAGAGACTTTAAATGCATTTAGAAGTTGGATGTAATCCTGACAAGGTTTTTGGTTTGGTTTGTTGTTTAACGCCGCACTCAGCAATATTCCAGCTATATGACGGCGGTCTGTAAAAAATCAAGTCTGGACCAGACAATCCAGTGAGTGACATCATGAGCATCGATCCATGCAATTTGGATGAACCAGGTCAGCGAGCCTGACCATCTGATCCTGTTAGTCACCTCTTACGACAAGCAAAGTCGCCTTTTATGGCAAGCATGGGTTGCTGAAGACCTATTCTACCCCGTATCTTCACGGGTCTCCTGACAAGATGTATTATGGATTACTACTTCTGTATTATACATACACAATGTTTTTTTTCATTGCTACTTCTTGGTAAAGGGGGCACGGGTGGCTCAGTCGTCTAAGGCGCCACAATTCGCTGTGCAGAGTTGCGTCCATTGGGCATGCCAGAAACCTATGATTGTGGGTTCAAATCCTGGTTCGAATTATGTTTCTAGGTTTGTCAGCACCATACCCATGCTCATGGTTTTCATCGAAGTGTTAAACGTCTAAGACCTGCATTACTTCGGGCTTTCCTCCCACATGAAGCTGACACGCTGTGATATGACTGGAATACTGTTGAAACGGCGTTAAACCCAACTCACTCACTCACTCACTCATCAAGTGAATGACAGGGTGTGAGAACATGACATTTATATATGTACACATCCAAACGAAGCCAATTATAATTAGCTACACATAATAAAAGCCAGTTGTGACGAAATTGAAAGTCAGACATTATAGAAGGAATTGATGAACATGACAGTTGTTATGCAAACATGTCATCTACAATTCTGTGCAAGGAAACTTTGACAGTTTCGTTGCTCAGGACAAATGATTATTTTACTTACTTCCACACTGCTTGTTAACATAATGTTCTAGTAGATGTATGTATTGTAGGTAACGACTGGAATTGATAAAAGTATCCTGGTAGCGGCCCTAGCGGGAATGTTAGGGCTGTGTATTGACCTGGATTTTGTATTGCAATATATTGCCATACTTTAACCTGTATTGCAATACATATTGCAAAATATTGCCGATTTACCTTTTTTATGAGTTAGTCAGAGTTATACCCTGTATTAATGTCAGATACCATTAGTTTGTTATACTCTCGGTATAGAGAGCTCCGTGAACGGGCTATTGCTGTGAGGAGCTTGATAGTCGTGATGTGTACACACTAATAAATAAAAAGATCGTCAGAGGCAAGTTGTATCAGAAAGATACTATTTTCATATCGATTAGGAACACATAAATATACTTATTTATATTTGCCCATTATATTGCTACATTTACAAACATATCGCTATACATATTGCTGAAAATTTGCACCACAATGTACCCGTGTACCGGTAATACCTCCACACCCTTAGAGAAAGTGTTTTTAATGTCACTTGAAGATGCGGGTTAAAATAGGTCTTCAGCAATCCATACTTACCACAAAAGGCGACTATACTTGTAAAGGCGACTAACAGGATCTGGTAGGCAGTTTCGCTGCTTTGGTTGATACATGCTATTGTATCCGAATTGTGTATATCGATGCTCATGATATCAATCACTGGATTGTCTTGTCCAGACTCGATTACCTACAGACCGCTGTCATATAGCTGGAATGTTGCTGAATGCAACGCTAAACAACAAACAAAACTTGTTCATGCTTACTGACAGTGGACCTACAC